GTTAGACTAAGATTTTTCGTTAAATAAAAATAGCAGCCCTACCTCAATCCACACCGTGTCTAATTTTTATTTAAAAAAGCAACATGTCAACGTGATTTGGGGTTAGTCTGGAGCGCAGCCTGTTGACGGTTAGACCCGCGGCAGAAAACACCCTCTCCGATGGCACAGATGTCCCGGGAATACACAGGTAACGTCTCGCTAGAGTGGCCAGCTTCGGGAAGCGCCTTTCATTTGCTTTCCACCAGTCAAGAGGATTAATATCCAGAGATGGAGGATTGTCTCTCATGTAGATGTCAACCTCTTCTGGATAATCAGTGGCTTGACGAGGGGCGCTGTAGTCATCTCCCAGGAGCATCATCATGGCGTTACTTTGGCTGCGGTCTTTATCTCCAGCTTGGGTAGCAGACACCGCTGTCAAATCTTCCGCATTGGCCATTTCCATAGCAGCACACATTTCAATAAGTTTTGCTTTTGCGGCTTCTTTCTCCGTTTGTGCAAAAAACGGGAGATGTTTATGGCGAGGGTCCAGGACAGAGGCGATCAGCGCAGGTTTGGCCACCAGATCATCCTTGTCAACCTGTGACGAACATATAACCCCCCAATTAATACAAAACAACGACAATAATAGTAATGATAATAATAATAGCCTAATAATAATAACTACCTGCATGCGGCCACTTAAGGACTGCCGAACTTTTGCCTTGAACTCCGTCACTCTGTGGCCGTCATCCTCGGCTCTCATCAGGTGTGTGTTCAGCAGGCTAAAGGTGATGGGGTAAATGTTGGAAATTGAAACGTTCTTTTCTGATGACATTATGGTGGTTGCACATTTTAAAGTTTCCAACACGGGTGCAATCTCCTCCATTATTTGCCAGTGTTCGTCTCGTATCTCCAGGGTTCTGGCATCTTGCAGCCTTGTAACCGTTCGGTCAGACAGAACAGCTGTAACAGCCCACCTTTGTTCGAGAAGTCTTCCGAACATGTCACACACCGAGTTCCATCTTGTTTTACAAGACTGAATGAGCTGGTGTTTCGGAAGTTTCATTTGTGATTGTTTATCTTCCAGTGCCTTGCATGCAGGGGTGCTGTGGTTAAAATGCCTAACCAGGCGCCCAGCTGCAACGATGACCCGATGCACGAACACATTAAATCCATCATTTACAGCTAGCTGTAGTGTATGAGCAAAACACGGAACCGACTCCCAGTTCACCCGTTCTGGAGAGTTTGCAGCCACGATGTTGCGTGCATTGTCATGAACACATGCAGACACTTTCCCATTAAGTCCCCATGTCTCCACCGCATCAATTAGTTTAGCTGCAAGGTTCTCAGCTGTGTGTCTGCTAGGCATACTCTGTGTTAGAAGGACAGCTGAATTAACTTGCCAGTCCTCATCGATGTAGTGACACGTTATTGTTATATAGCTCTCCGTTGTGAGTGCCGTCCAGCAGTCAGTCGTAAGGGCCACGCACTTTGTGCTTTCGAGTTGTGATTTAAGCGATTTTTTTCTCTCCTCAAAACGGGCTTCAATTCTACGGGTAATAGTGCATCTTGATGGGATTTCGTAATTGGGCTCAATATAGCCCAGTAGCTCTTGAAAACCTTCACCACAGACGACACTTATGGGCAAAGTGTCTTTTACAACCATTGAACAGATTCTCTGCGTTATCTCCTCAGATCGCCGTGCATCGCATCTTCTCCCTGACAACATGGCGGGCAAAGTTTGTTGCCCTTCATCACTCGATGCTTGTGGATGTTTGCTTCTCAAATGATACTGCATCGTACTCGTACTACTGCTGTATTTTAAAACAGCGCAGCATATTTTACAGGTAACCTCGTCTTCGCCCTTTCTGTTGAAATGGTCCCACACAGTGCTTCTTTTCGATCGCTTCATTTTGCTTGCTCGGTAAAAAAATGTCTGCAGGCACGTGTGTGGTTGCGCGTGTCGATGCGCCCCGTGAGTTAATACATAGTTTTAACTATATAGTAAAACCTATTTAGTTTTGTTTTTTAAACCATGCAGCAAAAAAAAAAAAAAAAAAAAAAAAAAAAAAAGCTTAAAAAAACGTTTTAAACCGTTTAACTGATAGTATTAATCGGTCAAAATTTTTACTATCGGTTAACGGTTAAACGGTCAAAATGAGCATCCCTAGTTCAAACCCGCCCATAGGGGGTTGGACCTAATGCGCTAACAGAGCTATCACAGATCAGTGGGTGGGACTTCACTTGTAGATACTGAAATCAATATCAGCCATCTTGTTTATAAGCTAAGCTAACAAGCGCTGTGGAGATAGGAAGTTATGACAATGACGGAAGAAACTAAACATGATATGGAAGAAACTAAACATGATATGGAAGTAGAGGATTTTGAAATTCTGCTGCTCGAATCCGCTGTTCGTGGCTATCTTTACGAGCCGCAATTTAGTGAAGAGCAGCTGAGCCTGATGGAGGAACAGGAGGCGGACGAGGAGCCCGGACTGGGCGGACTGCTGGTGCCTGTGCTCTCGCTGTGCGCTGCGGACACAGATAGAGTCCGTCTGCTGCAGAGAATTTCAACGATAGCAATTTCTCCTGGACGAAATCTCTGAATCAGACGAGCACACGGACGTTTGTGTTGTGATGTGAACCATCCTAGTGTCGCACCGCATATGTTCTGACTGGAACATCCAGGTATCACGCAATAATTCACCATATAGAAAGAAATACAAACGAGGAGTAATTCACTAATGAGTTTGCCAATGTAACGGGGTTCGTTGTCGTGGGAAGGAGGAGGCGGGAACCGGCGAACATTTAAACATTTTAATAGTAAAATAAACAAATACAAAACAAAAGTATAAGCCAGCTGGCCACACAAAACAGAAACAAAACATAAAATCAGGCCTGTTCCTTTTGTGCTTCCGCTCCTCCGTGAGAGATATGAGACCGCTGCGTCTCACAGGTGTCATTCATTATCACTCGCGCCGTCCTCTCACGTCCCTCGTCCTGCTCGCCACAGCCAACTAACTAGACATTTTGTGTGAAATGAATTTCAAACTCTTTTGGCAGCAAGTCTTGTAGACGGAACGGAAGAGTGATTTCTCTGTTTGCACTGTTCTGGATTAGTGGGAGTGGCTTGCGGAGCTGTGCAATGTGGTGCATTGTGGGAGTTGTTGTCTTACATACAAATGCGCCCTAAAGTTATTTTCTGTCTTTTCTCGGTCAAGAGGGCACCAAATTCAAAATTTCTTTTACATTTCGACTACATATATAACCCACTTTCAATAAAGACTAATGTTGAAATGGGTGGAGTGACCCTTTAAAGAACACAGATACAGCAGCTAATCTCCATTATGACCAACGCAATCTACCAAGTTCAGAGTAAATTAGCGTAGGGTCGCAAACAAACAGAGCTGATGATAAACAGGTGTGGGTGATCTGCTAACAACACTGGTGCAGCAAATGAAAAATAACAATGTTTGTCAAATATGTCCGTCTGTCCATCCATCCATCCATCTATCTATCTATCTATCTATCTATCTATATCTGTATCTATCATGTCTGTATCTGTGTATATATCTGTCTATATGTATATATTCTATCTATCAATCAATCAATCAATCTATCTATCTATCTATCTATCTATCTATCTATCTATCTATCTATCTATCTATCTATCTATCTATCTTATCAATCTATCTATCTATCTATCTATCTATCTATCTATCTATCTATCTATCTATCTATCTATCTATATCTGTATCTATCATGTCTGTATCTGTGTATATATCTGTCTGTCTATATGTATATATTCTATCTATCTATCTATCTATCTATCTATCTATCTATCTATCTATCTTATCAATCAATCAATATATCTATCTATCTATCTATCTATCTATCTATCTATCTATCTATCTATCTATCTTATCAATCAATCAATATATCTATCTATCTATCTATCTATCTATCTATCTGTATCTATCATGTCTGTATCTGTGTATATATCTGTCTGTCTATATGTATATATTCTATCTATCTATCTATCTATCTATCTATCTTATCAATCAATCTATCTATCTATCTATCTATCTATCTATCTATCTATCTATCTATCTATCTATCTATCTTATCAATCAATCAATCAATCAATCAATCTATCTATCTATCTATCTATCTATCTATCTATCTATCTATCTATCTATCTATATCTGTATCTATCATGTCTGTATCTGTGTATATATCTGTCTGTCTATATGTATATATTCTATCTATCTATCTATCTATCTATCTATCTATCTATCTATCTATCTATCTATCTATAAAATCAATAACCTTTAAACTTCCAAGCTTTTAAAACTATTTTAAGCTTTGAGGTGAACTTTGTCAAGCTGACAAATCAAGGTCTGTTTCGATGTACATTCCTTTTCAAATTATAAGTTCTGTTAAAAATATCTATATTGCCATATGCCATGCTTTTTGTACTGGATTAGAAACTAAATCCAAAAATAGATAGATTCAGAATGCTGACACAGCGATTTCATTCCCCCGTCCCAGTTCATTTCCATTCCTGCTAAACTGGTTTAACATCGCTCTGTTCCTTGCTTACGTCATTAGCGCTCTGGGGAGGTTTTCACATTCTGCCTGTTTATCAGCCTCATCTGCATGTGTTTCAGTCTCACTAAACTGTACACACAGACTGGGAATTAAACTAAGACAGTGGAACAAACATTAAATTAGAAGGTGATTTTGGAACTAATTAACCAAATAATCAATCAATCAGTCAACCAATCAATCGCTTAACCATACATTTTTCAATCAATGCAAATGCATACATTAAAAAATATATGCTTCCAGAAATGATACACTATGGCTCTGTTCTATGGCCTGCTAAGAAAACTTCTTTTGGCCAAATTCTATCTATTCCCCAAAGAGAAGACAATCCCATAATGCTCCCTATGTAGGCCGTAGACAGCGAGGCAGCTCTTCTGAACAGTCGTAGCTTGAGTAAATCGCGTATGCCTCACCTGAGTCGCACTGGTTTTGGTCCAGGGTAACAGACACTCAGACACTAGAGAGACGGTGGATGGCAGCAACTCTGGGAAGGGATTCGGGACGGGTCCCATTTGTGTATCATCCACCTCTCTACCTTTCCTGAGGAGAGAATGAGAAACCAGTGGTAAGAGACATGAATAAAACCAATGGCATTAATACCCCAATTACCCTGATTCCCACGACAAAAACCCAATAGGATTTGCATTGGCTTTTGGATTATAAGCTTTGTGACCAAAAAAGTTTATGATTCTTACACGTTTTGTTCATCATGATAATCTTCAGGCTTTTTGAAGCCTAAAAACAATTGCCAGAAGTAAAAAGCTAAACATAGGCTATAAATGAACTACACCACAGTGAGTCACATGACTTCAACGTAACCATTAAGCTTCGACAACTCAGTTTTTATTCAAAAAACATTTCCCTGAAACTTACAATACATATACTACAGTATATATACAATACATACTAGTTATAAACACAACTAGTGTACTAGTTCGGCATGATGATGTTTAATGTAACTGACAACCCCATTTAGCCAAGTGTTAGCATCCATAAAAGTAAAGTAAAAGCTTAAAAAAAATTCACAAAGGGGTATTGTATGTGTCATATAGTCATAAAAACATGAATATATCTTGAGCTTGGTTTTACCACACACTTTAAATGGTTAGTTCGCCCAAGACATGAAGTTGTATGCAATCCTTACCAGCACTATAGTGCATACACACTGACCCACTCTGTTGTCACCTCCCTGGTCAGAGTTCTGGCCGCTGGAAGTTTTTCAATGAAGTACTCCCGGTTATTTTCCGGGGTCACAAAACTGTGCGTTTTTACATGAAAAAAAGTGATTTGCGTTTCAAAGCTTGATTAATTTATCACACAAAAAATGCATACCTCAGTTTTAATCGGCACTATTTTCTATCCATTTCTATCAATGCTGCTGTCAACGTCAACAGTGCGCACGTTCCGATCAGCTGTTCCATAGTGTTTACACAATCGATTGACAACGACGTAAAAAGTATTAAATTAACAATGGTGCGAACTTGTAAATTCCCAGGCTGTGACCACAACGATGTGCCGGGATCAAAGTTCAGATTCCATCGTTTTCCTGTTTCGAATATAACTATGAGACAGTTTACCGAACCGAGCATAATCTCCATCTGCTGTTAGTCGACCTCACCAGCAGGGGGTGCAAGCGCGTATTGTTGATTTGGCTGGTTGCCATCGGCTACTCTGCGGGAGCTAAAATATCCAGAATAAAGGATTTTCTTCGCTGTAGTGCTCACTTCAGCGAAGACGATTACATCCCCAACCAAGGAGGAAAAGGAAAATTAAAGAGTTTTGCTGTACCAGTACCACGGGTAAGCTCTATTTACTAACTTTATGATCCCATGTCTAAACTGTACGGTAAACAAGCTGATGTTTAGACTCCCTTATAAAACACGTGAAAAGATGTCTAATATAAAAACAGCTATAGGGATATTGGTAAATTTGCTGAGAAAACTTATCACACACAATTGAGGTTTTGTGTTGCAATCAATAACATTGTCGTTCGTTGTGGTAAAATTACTTTCATCATCTGATCCGTCTGGCATTGTGCTAAAATTGGTTTCATCATCAGAAGTTTCGCAGTCAGACATGTTGTCAGCGAGTCGCGCTATCAACAGCTGATCTGAACGTGCGCACTGTTGACGTTGACAGCAGCGCGGATTGATAGAAATGGATCGAAAATAGTGCAGATTAAAACTGAGGTATGAATTTTGACCGGCGTGTTTTTTGTGTGGTAAATTAATCAAGCTTTAAAACGCAAATAATTTTTTCACGTAAAAACGCACAGTTTTGTGGCCCCGGAAAATAACCGGGAGAACTTTATTGAAAAACTTCCAGCGGCCAGAACTCTGACCAGGGAGGTGACAACAGAGTGGGTCAGTGTGTATGCACTTTAGTGCTGGTAAGGATTGCATACAACTTCATGTCTTAAAAGGGCGAACTAACCCTTTAAGCATTTAACCAAAAATCAATTTTAAAAAACCCATTGACTTCAGGACAATAGAACCCGAAGTGCTAAAATGCTAACTCCTTTCCAGGTCTCAGCCTACAAAAATACGTCATCCTGCTGCACTCTATTCAGATAGTTTAAAAGGACGGCTGAGGCACATTTTTGAGCCAATTATCTCAGCTGAAAATGTAATGTAACTCCTTGCATAAGTAACAAACACCAAAAAATCGATTTCACTCAATCAAGTCTGAAAAATCCTTAATATCCACCTTTTGCTGAACTTGGAATATCTTGCTCTCATAGTAGAATTATCCTTTACATTTCCAGTCTCCGGTGTTTCTAGTCAAATTAGTGCATTTTTAGAGCTGATAATGTAACGTTAAACCTATGAAAATGGTTTTAAAAAAGCAAAGCTTATAAATCAGGAGTTTTTTTTAATGCAATTGAAGACGAAAAGTAAAGTCACTAACACAATTCTTTCTTCCTTTTTTCTTTACACCAAGATCATGTTTAGGTGATCGTTAAATAAAGTACAGAATTGTTTATTATTGGTGTTTTGTCTATTCTTATTTGAGTTTTGCTTCGCATTTAAATTATCAAAAAACAGGTTTTGTAATGTTAGCATGGTATAATGTTAATTAGACCATTATAGGTTGAACTGACAGAAAAATTAGAATTTGAATTAAAAAAACATTGTAGCAATATAATGTCACATAATATTTTTCAGAAGATAGTTCAATCTGTAATTGTATCCCTTCCATCAGTAACTCAATGTGTTTTTTTGGCACATGCATTAAGCAGGGAACGCAAATATTTATTTGGATAACTTTAAATAAAACGAGACCGTAATATTGCATCCTATTGTTTTCAATGACATTTGGATAAGGATCTCGAAAAACAAGGGGTCTGAGAACGTGGGACTCTGGGTGCAGGTGTTATACGATCTTCCGAACAGCAGGAGGCGCTGTCTTGAAAAACAAGGGGTCTGAGAATGCGGGACTCTGGGTGGGGGACTGTAGCTGCAGGCTCCGAGTCTGCAGCTTCATAACATTGTGTTTTTTGGCCTATGTATGATGTAGTTATGGTTTCTACCAACAGGGGCTAACTGCTAAAGCTAACCAGGGAACTTGCCTTGGCAACTAGCTTTTTATATTTAATTTTATTTAATTTTATTTCAAGTAATGAAGAAGGGTTTTATGGTTTTAGCTTTAGTTAATGATAATAACCCTGGGTGAAATCAAAAAGTACATCTGCAAATCTAAAATGTGCCTCCTCAGGGAAAGCTAGCGGCATCAAAATAGCACTTATCATGCATGTGAGACGTGTACGACATTTCATAAACCAGACGTCCTGCATTCTCAGCGCAGCAGACAGCAGCTGTGTGTGAGGCAGCGGTTGAGGTCATATGATGACTGAAGTCCCGGGCAGAGATGACTTCATCGGCTGTACCTGAACGGTCCCCGGAGGGCCGGTGTAAAGCGAGGAGAGGCAGTCTGAAGCTGCGTGATCATGTGCTTATTTATAATCCGTTTAGAGAGTTCTGTTGATGGGTAAATCTCACTGAACACGTCGAGAACATGGACGGGTCATATTTCACCGCCTACATTGAAATAAATATTGTTTGCTTAAAGAAAATGAAGCTTGTTTGTAGGACCATTTTCATTAATATAATGTGGAAACAAATAATTATTAATTATTAAAATGATAAAGTTTTAATTCATTATTGTAGTATTTATTGTATTGCCTTTTTTACATGCTGAATTAAATATGAACATCATTGTTTTGCAGTCATTTTTAATGCATCACAGTTTTATAGTGCTAAAATAGACTTTGCATTATGCAAATTTACTTTTTCTCTTTTTTCTTTTGATAGAATGAACATAATGCAATGCAACATAATGTGTGTGTGTGTGTGTGTGTGTGTGTGTGTGTGTGTGTGTGTGTGTGTGTGTGTGTGTGTGTGTGTGTGTGTGTGTGTGTGTGTGTGTGTGTGTGTGTGTGTGTTTTTGATCCATTTCAGCTGGAACGCCAGAGAGAGAGAGAGAGAGAGAGAGAGAGAGAGAGAGAGAGAGAGAGAGAGAGAGAGAGAGAGAGAGAGAGAGAGAGAGAGAGAGAGAGAGAGAGAGACTTGCTTTTATATTCCCATTCACTGAAACTTTCCAAAAGAAATATCCACAAATTCATAAATATAGATTAAAATGTAATTTATTCCTGTGATCAAAGCTGAATTTTCAGTCTTCAGTCACATGATCCTTCAGAAATCATTCTAATATGGGGATTTGCTGTTCAAGAAACATTTCTTATTTCTTATTATTACCAATGTTTAAAACAGTTGTGCTGCTTCATATTTTTGTGAAAACCGTGATACTTTTTTAATCAGGATTCTTTGATGAATAGAAAGTTCAAAAGAACAGCATATATATTCAAAATAGAAATATCTTGTAACTTTATAAATGTCTTTACTGTCACTTTTGATCAATTGAATGCATTCTTGATGAATAAAAGTATTAAAATTCTTTTTAAAAAAAACATACTGACCCCACACTTTTGATGTGTATATACACACGCTGTATATATTTATTAATACTTTTACGTTTTGGGTCCGTAATATTTTTTAACACCCACACACACACACACACACACACACTAGGCAAAAACAACTTCAAAGAGAATCACCACAGCAATTTAACTAGTGCAAATTAGGGAAAGAGTAGAAAGAGAGAAACATTTGTGAAAATAAATCTCCACCATTGAAATCTGCAGAAGTCATACAGTGAAAAAGTCTGAATATTTGTATGCGTATGTGGCAGGGTTTACTTAGGTCAGTCCCGGTTTCACAAGGTGTGTCCCAGGTAAACAGTCAATTGTCCTGACAGTGTACTTAAAAATGTCCTGTTTCAGATACATTTAAAAAACGTCTTCTTTTGTGTTACACAGAATAAAATAAAAAGTCATCTGGTTTAAAATGAGTAAACGAAGACAGCATTTAAAAAATTTTTGCGTGAAATATCCATTTGACTACATCTTTTCATTTGTGTGAGTAAGCATCAGTTAGCAGTTAGCACTAAATAGTATTCTTCAAAAATATATTTCATAAAACTCAGATTTTTAGAGATATCATTCTCAGATATGAAATATAACATGATCAGACTTGTGGCTTTAGGTGCATCGGGGTTTTACACCGCAATAAGGGCATATTTTTTGTCATAAAAATAGTTCCTGAAAATTATTTTCAAAAAAAAATGTAAATTCTCACTGACAACCTGAAAAAAGACAACCTGCAATTAGTTATTTCTACCTGATTTAACCAATAGAATTTAATCTCAATTGTAGGTCGCTTAGGATAAAAGCGTCTGCTAAATTAATAAATGTAAATGTTTTGTTGTAAAATGTATGTATTAGGTTGATTCAGTGATATTTTTGACTTAATTAAAACCTTAGATATTAGATATAAGCCTTATTAGATATAAGATTAAATCTTAGATATAAGAAAACTTAGATATTATCATTTTTAGGTTACCTTTTTTCAGTGTTGATCACAACAAACTCATTTCTCATTTCAAATGACAGCAGAATCACGCCTCTAGTCTATTATAGTTTGGGTATATGGCATTTTTGGGGTTTGGGTTCAAAAGGTTCAAAAACTACGAGGATACCTGAACATAAACACACGTTCACCTAAGGAAACTTGTTAAATCCATGTCTACTTCATTTGAGCTCAGTTGTTTGTTGGTTACGGCACAAATAAACACTTCAGAGTCTTCTTTCGAGGGCTGGAATCAAGCCGCACATTCATGATCTCAGCGCTACCGTATCACAAACACGCAGAAGACGTGACGTCCGGTAAAGTGGCCTCCGACTCGAGCTGGAAAGTAGCAGGTGCTTGATTTGATTCCAGTGTCTGTGCTGTTGATGAGAACATCTGTTTACAGGTACAAAGTCTAGGTGGTTCTCACGTAGACCTTGCAGAGAGCACAAAGGCAGCTCTATTCCCTGTCCGATCTGACGTGTTAACGATTAACCGGTTAGGAAACGAGGTACGGTATCGACGTGGGGAACCTAGTGTCCTGAACTTGCTTATTATACAGTGTGTACACATGCACTGCAAATAAAATATTTCATAACTCTGCATTCCTGTCTTGTTTTCCAGTACTAACATCTCAACATTCTTAAATCAAGATGCATTTACTTGAGATGCACAATGACAAAAGATATGCTTAAAACAAGAAAAAATATCTGACAATGGGGTCAGAAAAATATTCATGTTTTCCCTTTGAATTAAGTTTGTTATTATGACCCCATTTGGCAAAATATTTGTTCTTGTTTCAAGCATAAACATATTTTTTAGTCAATTTGCGTCTCAAGTACATGTATCATGATTTGTAATGGAAAACAAGACAAAAATACTGAAAATGAAAATCCCCTTTTGCAGCGTGCACACTTTCACGGACGTTTGCATGCAGTTGCAATAGAAAGTGTGTGTCCTACCTATTCCCCTTGAAGAGCGTGGAGACCGCAGCATTGGGTGGCTGCAAGGGCGAGCGCAATGGGATGAAGGCTGGCCCGACGACGTTCCCACTGCCTCTCGCTCCCCGAAATATGGCCGCTTTCTCCCCGAGGCTGCCAGAGGTGTGTGTCTCATCCAGGGAGTCATTCATAGCACTCATGGAGCCAGGTTACATCCAGCAGCTCATCTGGAGCACAAGACAGGACAGACACCATCAGGATAGGCGTTTGTGTGTGTGTGAAGTCAGCGTGCTCCTGACGCTGCCACAAAAACACACACGCACATGCACAAACGCATGCACACACACTCAGCCTGTGCTGCCCCTGCATGGCAGGCCGTCCTAGCCTGGGAAGTAGATCCCTCCTTCCAAAACATGATCCGCAATAAAGTTATTTTTAACTCTATGACTCCTGAATGAGCTCGGCTCGCTCTTGCGCACACACACACACACACACACACACACACACACACACACAAGCAGGCCTCTCTCTTCTGGATTTCTGTTTTTTCTTTGCAGACCTGCTCGGACAGACAAAAGGTTTCTTGGTTATAGGTATGCGACGTAGCTCTGTAATGAGAGCTGGAGTTCGGCCAGACAGTAAAACCTACTGTTCCTTTGTAATGGACTTCGCTCCGCTCTCTTCTCTTCTGGCCTGAAGCCAAGCAGGGAGGTTGACCTCTGTGTTTGTGTGTATCACTCACAGACTGGGACTTATAAAGAGACCTGTACTGATAACAAGAGCACTAGATACCACTTTCACACTTTAGTGTGCACTAAAAACTGTGCTCTTAAAAATAAAGGTTCTTTATTGGCATCTATGGTTCCATGAAGAACATTTGACATCCATGGAACCTTTTCAATGCACAAAAGTTTCTTTAGATTTAAAAAAAAAAGTCCTTCAAACTAAGAAAAAAATGGTTCTTTTAGGAACTGCTCACTGAACGGTTCTTGAGCAACCAAAAATATTTCTTCTATGGCATCGCTGCAAAAACCCACTTTTGGGATCTTTTTTTTTTTTTGGGATCGGGAAAAGGTCAGCAAACCTGGACTCGAATTCGGTTCGCCCAGAGCCATAGAGAGAAAGAGTTGCGACACGCTTTGATGTCGCCGCGACGGCTGTCACGTGGTTCATGTAAGCCCAAATAGTTCCAAAACATACGCGGGCTGTCATGTTCTTCTATGGACAGACAGCAGCGATTGGATTATTAAACGGTAAATATAAAATAAAACACACACCCAAGTACTTTTTAAGCTGTTATTGCATTTTGTTAATGTCAGTTTTGCATTTGGAGAGGCAGGGTGACAACTTAGATAAGTTTTAGGCTATATTTTTGGAAGGGAAAAGCTTAGTGTTCATGTTCACATGGGTAGTAGCACTGGCTTTAGCGGCTCTAACTTAACTTTTCCATGTCATTCATCTGATGATGGACGTCTCATGATATTTATTTTAGCACAACTGGGCTGTATTAGGCTATTGATTCCCGTGATCTTGCTTATAAATTCCGATTCAGCCATTAGCCTACCTTCGTGATCACGCAAGTCCGTTCAGAACTCCAACCAACATAAAATATAAATAATTACGCTGTGCATGTACAAATGAATGATTTAGGAGGGAAATAGACCGCTCCCATAACGTAGAAAGCAACGACTATATACAGCAATGTTCGGTAAATATTCAACCGAAAAATATTCTTCATAAAATTAAACCGGAGAGATAAGTTAGTTAATGAGTGAATTTACTATGTTCCTAAATACATATAAGCACATATATGCATAACCCTAACCCATTTAAATAAATGAATTGTGTGTGTGTATATATAATATTATATATAGGCTATATATATATACACTCACTGGCCACTTTATTAGGTACCCCATGCTAGTAACGGGTTGGACCCCCTTTTGCCTTCAGAACTGCCTCAATTCTTCGTGGCATAGATTCAACAAGGTGCTGGAAGCATTCCTCAGGGAGTTTGGTCCATATTGACATGATGGCATCACACAGTTGCCGCAGATTTGTCGGCTGCACATCCATGATGCGAATCTCCCGTTCCACCACATCCCAAAGATGCTCTATTGGGTTGAGATCTGGTGACTGTGTAGGCCATTTTAGTACAGTGAACTCATTGTCATGTTCAAGAAACCAATTTGAAATGATTAGAGCTTTGTGACATGGTGGAAGTAGCCATCAGAGGATGGCTACATGGTGGCCATAAAGGGATGGACATGGTCAGAAACAATGCTCAGGTAGGCCGTGGCATTTAAACGATGCCCAATTGGCACTAAGGGGCCTAAAGTGTGCCAGGAAAACATCCCCCACACCATTACACCACCACCACCAGCCTGCACAGTGGTAACAAGGCATGATGGTTCCATGTTCTCATTCTGTTTACGCCAAATTCTGACTCTAACATCTGAATGTCTCAACAGAAATCGAGACTCATCAGACCAGGCAAGATTTTTCCAGTCTTCAACTGTTCAATTTTGGTGAGCTCTTGCAAATTGTAGCCTCTTTTTCCTATTTGTAGTGGAGATGAGTGGTACCCGGTGGAGTCTTCTGCTGTTGTAGCCCATCCGCCTCAAGGTTGTGCGTGTTGTGGCTTCACAAATGCTCTGCTGCATACCTCGGTTGTAACGAGTGGTTATTTCAGTCACTGTTGCCCTTCTATCAGCTCGAACCAGTCTGGCCATTCTCCTCTGACCTCTGGCATCAACAAGGCATTTCCGCCCACAGAACTGCCGCTCACTGGATGTTTTTTCTTTTTCGGACCATTCTCTGTAAACCCTAGAGATGGTTGTGCGTGAAAATCCCAGTAGATTAGCAGTTTCTGAAATACTCAGACCAGCCCTTCTGGCACCAACAATCATGCCACGTTCAAAGTCACTCAAATCACCTTTCTTCCCCATACTGATGCTCGGTTTGAACTGCAGGAGATTGTCTTGACCATGTCTACATGCCTAAATGCACTGAGTTGCCGCCATGTGATTGGCTGCTTAGAAATTAAGTGTTAACGAGCAGTTGGACAGGTGTACCTAATAAAGTGGCCGGTGAGTGTATATATATATATATATACATATAAAATATTATTAAAAATATTATATATTATATAAATCAGGTTACCGTAAGTTAGCTAACGTTAGTGAAGTGTTGGTCACGTAAGCTATCGCTGCAATTAACCTATTATCTTCCAATAAACATTTACTAAAACTGGCTACAGAAAATATAACTACAGACTAGATTCACGAGAGGTCGGCTAATGTGTGTAAAAGTAAAAATAAATACAGTTATTTCATTAATTTACCAGCGAGCGTACTTCGGGAGCACTGAAAATGAATGGGGTTCAATGGAGAAACTATCAGTGTTTGGGACTATCGGCTGCTCCACAACACGCGTTACTTCCGGATTCCAGAGTTCCTATGGCGGTCTATGGGAGTGTCAGTTGTCAGTTGTATAAACGTTGCATCACAAATAAAGAAATTTAGAATAGGGTGTAAAGAAAGATGCAACACTTTTCAGCTTCTGACCTAGATACTAAGGGCCAGATTTACTGACAACTTGCACCAGCACAAACCCTCTTTGGGCGTTTAAAAACACTGTCAGGATTTTCTAAAGACACAGTGAGAAATTAGCAATGAAAAGGTGTAGGCAGTAATTTTTGACCTTATTGCAAATGCATATAGGAGTTTCCCATCAGATGCAAAATGTATGTGCAGACTGAGAGAATTTAAATGAATCATGCAGTGTGATTTACTAAAGTTTGCGGTGGTCCATTTAGTTGTATTTATGCCATTATTTACGGCCCGAAAAAAAAGCATGCCTTAACCCATTGAATTTGTGCATTGTCAGTAGATAACCCGCAGAACTTTCCACTCCCATATGTGCTTTTATTAGATTGCGACCACATAACAGTTTGACCTTTTTAGTAAATCTGACCCTAAATCAGATAATACACTGCAAAACACTAGTTGGATTAATGAGTTGGTTAGTTCATGTGCTGTGATGATCCTATCTTACTATTTAAACTTCAATTTTCAAGAAAAAGGAGACTGTGACTTGGAAGAAACTTCATAAAGCCTTAAGAGGAATCAAATGCAGCCATTCTGCTCTGGTAAGCCTCATGCAACAATACATTTATACAATCAAATATGATCTACTTATTATTAAAATAGTATTTCATACGGATAATACTTGACCATCCCAAATGCCACCTCCCCTACTGAAATGACCACGCTAATTTATGCTGGATTGATATCGGTCAAGCTGTCTTTCTACCAGTGTTAATTTCGTTGACGAAAATAACGACGAAAATTATTCGTCAACGACATTTTTTCACAGACGAAAACGAGACGATAACTAAATAAAACCTAGTTTTGAATGACAAAGACTATGACGAAAATCTATTGACATTTTCGTCAACGAATAAAAACTAGACGAAAATGTTAGATAGTGACGATTTGGGAAGCGATCCGTCAGAACTGATGTCCTGCGTGTGTGGTAGATGCGCACATTTGTAGGCTACTGTAACGTGATCTACCCCGCGGTCATAAAACGTTAAAAAATGTGAACGTCTGGGAGAATGAGTAGGGCAGACATATAGATCTCTGAATAAGAGTGACTGTAGAAAGTCTCTATTTGTTGGTATGAGTCAATGATAACACAGAATGTAAATGACTGCGTTTAATCCAAACATTCGATAACTGGCATCCGATACAGACCAGATAGAAGTGCACCAAAACCACCGGGCATTCTGACTGGTTGAGACAACCCAGTACGGTGGCCCATAATAAACAAACTGCATAATCATTTAACCAAACGCCTACATCCCTTCCTTTTAGTCTTTAGCCCTATCAAACAAGGCAACACTGGTAAACATGTCTTTGCAACATAACTAAAACAAATAAGGTTAAATGAATACCTCATATTGCACTTTAACATTTAGGCCTCTTCATAGTCTACTAAATCACCAAGGGTGTTTAAGTCCATGAAATGTCACAATACTGAACACGCTGAATAGCTGGGATGAAATTACACCAGGAAGAACATTTTTTTTTTTTTTTTTTCACATGTATTTGGGATTTGGTCTGCAGATGCGACCTGAACGTGTGGTGTATTGTGTGTCGTGACTCTCGATGGGTGAGTGCGCTGCTGGCTTGGGCTGGGGGGAGGGTGGGTGTTGGGGTTGCAC